GTTATTTTATCTTCTGGAGCTGAGGACTGAACCCAGGGCCTTGTACTTGCTAGGCAAGTGCTGTACCACTGAGCTAAATCCCCAACCCCTACCTACATCTTTTGAATGATTGGAATTATTGGTTAAAAGAAAACAGTAGAAAGAAATTTAGTAAAACTGAGATGTTAATTGGCCTTCAGAACCCATCTACTTGAGCTCACACAATTGTCTTTTAGTCTTTGTTTCTTATTTTACAGATTTTCTAAATTATGTAAGGCTCAAGCAATTGGATCAATTCAGACTTACTAGCCATTTCTCAAAAATTGATGTACTTTCAAGTGATTTTAAATCATTATACAATCTTGCGATTTATCACTCAGCCCTGGTTTGGTTTGTTTCCACAGGAAGGTTTGAATCAGTCTGGTCGTCTGTAGATCTGATTGCAGTACTTATTAATCATTAGAAACTATGATGCTGAATGTCAGAGAGAAGTCTTGATATTTTTCTTCCCACTTTCTTCTTATTGGCAAAAAATTCAACATTGACTTTTGGAAGCTCTGCTTTAAAGCTCCTGCAGAGGGAAGGAACATTTTTCCTTGGTATGAAGTCGTCTGGACTGAGATTCTGGATGCTGTTAACAAGCACAATATCCATTTGAGAAAGATGTGATCTGATTTACATCAAATAATAGTCTAAATATTAATTTGATTAAGTGGTACCTTGGCTCAGTTTCTTTAACCTGAACTGGAGAGATTTAACTACAGGAACAAGAGTCATGATTAGTAGGGTCTTATCGGTCTATGTTTCTTTCTTTCTGTTTCTCACTTGCTCAGTCTATCATCTAACTGTCTATCTATCTATCTATCAATCATCTAATTACCTATTTATTCATCTATAACCTATTTGTCTACCTACCTCTCTATCATCAATCATCTATGTATTTTGCATGTGCATAATTATACATACACACTTATATGTATTTTATATGTGTGTATATCATTTTATATAGCTATAGAGATAGACTTACTTAAAACTCAACATATATAACAGATACACAAGCAGAACTTCTGATAATCTTCATGGGATGACAGTTTAAATTATTGATCTATTCAGTGGCTTCTGTGTGTGGAATAATTATAGAGCCAAGAACTGCATTTAGGTGTGGCTTTTTTTTTTGTATTTACCACCTGCTTACCTGTGAGAACAACACTTTCCCTATGCCTTTCTTTATGCATTTGGCACATGGAAGATAGATCATCTACTGATAGTAGATGGTCAATAAATGGGATTATAGTTACTTAGATTCTCTTTTTTATCTTGAATGTACTTAGAACACAAAATGGGAACTTTTCCTCCTCTCTGGTTTCCTACCTCTTTGAGAAGATTCCATCTCTACATTCTCCTTCACTAATTGAATGAGATTTACTCTGAAAACTAGAAGGAAGTTATATCTGAGAGTGGAGTATAGTCTTGTTGTGGTGATATTTTCAGTTTGTACTGTCAAAATGTGAACTTTGAAGCATTCTTTGTGGACTTGGGAATTCAGTTGGCCATCAGGGTCAGTGGGGGCTTGGATGGATTCCTAACCATTGCTCACTGGATGTTGCCCAACATTGTTTTTCTATAAATAATAAAGGAATTAAAATAAAGCAATAAGTAATTTTAGCCAAGGAAATTGATGCTCAGTATCACTCTCCTTTTGGTTAATTCTCTGAATGCTTTCCAGCCAGCTCACATTCATTCGGGATAGATTTCTGGTTTATCTCTTTCTTCTTTTTTCTTTTGTTGAAAATAGATTTCTTTTCATAAAATATATTTTGAATATGGCTTCCCATCCTTACTCCTCCCATTCCTCTCTATCTCTCATTCCATCTGGAAGCTATTAGTCTTCTATTAGAAAATAAACAGGCACCTAAGAAATAGAAATAAAATAAACCAAAATCAAACAAGTTGGAGTATGACAAAACAATAAACTGAGGGGAAAAAGCCTAAGAAAATGCACAGGAAATGTATATGGTTGCAGAGACCCACATGTTCACACCCTAGGAATCTCATAAATACCCAATTTTGAAATCATAATGTATACACAAAGGATCTGTAAGATACAAATAAACAAACAATAATAAACAACAGTAACAGTAACTACAAAAATGCCCCAACTTAATATTATGAGACAAAGAACTTCCAAAGATTCTGTTGAGTTTGCTTTGTGTTAGCCACAAACCGTTAAGAGTGGTTTGTTTCCCTAGTTGACTCCCTTGGAGAATTTGCAAGTGTCTATCAAAGGGAGATAGTGTTTGGGCTAGGGATGGAAGCATGTTTGCACTGTTTTTTTCAGCTCTAGCAACCAATCAGATACAGACCTGTGAGGGTTCTGTGTATACTGTGTGCACCAGAATGTGTGCACCAGAATGTTGTGTCTAGATGGATCTACCTAAGAAAAGGAGATAGAATAGATATATGTGGATGCTTTATCCTTAATACCTTGAAATATTGATTAATCACTGTTACACATTTTCCTAAGGGTTTTAGGATGTGAAGCTTAAACTTAAATTTGTTAGGTCAGGGGCTAGGGAGGTGACATTGTGGTTAAGATTATGAAAAGCTCTTGCAAAGTATGTGAGCTCAATTCTCAGCATCCATATTGCGCATCTTACAGGGCCAGTAACTGTGGCTACAGTGGCTCTATCAATCTGTTGTAGATTCTACCAGCACCTCACTCACATGTGCTCAAACCCACACACAGATATACATGCATATACATATATGAAAAATAAAAATGAATCTTTAACGTGATTGTTAGGCCAGAGAAAGAGATCACTAAAAGAGATGCCTTGCACAGCCTTGGTGCAGTGGGAAGGGGATTGGACCTGCCTAGGCTCAGTGTGCCAGGCTCTGCCGACTCCCCATGGGAGACCTTGATTTGGGGGATGTGGAGATGTGAGGTGGCTTGGGAGAAAGGGCTGGGGGTGGTAGGAGGGAGGAGGGGGGATCTGTGGGTGGTATGTAGAGTGAGTAGAAAATTTCTTAATAAAGAAAAATGAAAAAAAAGAAAATATTACAACAGGAAAAACAAAAGAATTTGAATCAATGGCTCAGAGAGGGTCTAGAATTTTAGACACCTTAATGGATGATATCCTAAACCCATATCTATAGATTCTTAGCTAATGAGCCCCTGTAACACACCAAGTAAGATTCCACAGCACTATTCATTAAAATTGTGCCATTAAGGCTGACAAAAGATTGACAGATACTATGCAACTTGCTACACTTGTAGAATGCAAACCAGAATTTTCTGATGAATGAAATGCTCAGATGATGTAAGCCAAAAATCATCCTTATGTTTGTATCTTAGAAAAATCTAGAAAAAGCTAAAGCATAGTTCTTTTTGTAGAAGCATGTATGTCAAAAATGCTCTGTTAGGAAATTCAGCTTTACAATACTCATTTCTCATAGTTTGTGGCATTTCCATTATTATACTGAAATCCTAGAGCACCATGACAGCTAACTTTCAGGATACTTTGTTTTTAAATAAATGACTGGCCTGATCTGAGCACTGGACATAGTGGGCTTTCACCAGTTTATCTTGAGAATGATATTCAAACTCATCAAACCCAGTCTGCTATTCCCCTTTCTGTGTAAAATAAAACAAAACAAAATACCCAAACCACACCAAAAAAACTTTTCTTTTTCATTCAACTAACAAGACTTATTTATTAATCACATTTTAATAGTAAGAGAAAGTATAGATTTCAGATGGGAACAATTTCAAAGCTACTTCCTGATGCTTGATGGTCGTTCTTTCTCACACCATCTCTTTATGTGATTAGAAAAATAATTTTGATCTGCATGGTAGAAGATTTACTCCAGTGTCCTGCAAAATAGGGAAAGGTACATCTGTATGAATAGCGCAGCCAGATTAGCAAACCTGTAATTGGGGACTGCAAATATTGATTGGAGTTTTTCCCTTCTCTTGCATGTTCCGCCTTGTTTCTGAATAGAGTCCTACTCATTATACTTAATTTAGGCAATGTTACAGCATCTGAAGTTTCGAGTAAACTGCTATCTGCAGAGGCACCCTTCCTCAGTGAACTAATTTCCTCTTTGCTGCAATTATTCATGTTTAAACAATGTTTGTCCTCCGGAAAGATTTCATATTCATGCAAAGATAATTAGAAGCCTTAATGTATTTTATTTGGGCCTTAAACATTACACTCAAAGATTTAGCTTACACCATTTCTAATTGCTTTGGGCTAGAACACAGTGTTTAAATGTCGTCAAGCCGCCCAGCGATAATATTTTAAGGATGGTATAGTTTGAACTGCAAAACATAAGCCAGAGACATTGCTTTATGCAATGAAAAGTGTGTCTGCTCCAAAGATGGATAGCATAGAGGGCTAAACATGTTGGATAGAGAAAAAGCATATGGTTGAATGGAGTCATATGTACCACAGTAAAACATAATTTGGCTGTGAATTTGAGGAATTGAAATAATTTTAACCTCTTGTTCTCCATTTCTTCATATGTAAAAAGTGAACAGTAACTAGTTTTGTTAACTCTCTATGGCCTTATTTCTTAGACAGTGTAAGATAGCTAGCTGCAAGAGAGGGAGACTCTCTGAGAGTAGGCTTGCATTCCTATCAAAATATGTTGAACAAAATTAGTTTTCCAGGAAAAGCAATATAGACAACAGACCATCCTATTTGTACATATTCTCAAAGAATTCCCGGTAATAGATTTTCCATGTGCTGAAGTAAGAGGTGCTGACTCTCTACAAGAAGTCCACGAGTATATAGACCTTTATAGGAGTCCCACAGATCAGAATTATCTTCATAAAATTATTATTACCTAAATAATATAATATTATTAATTATTATATACTAAAATATTACTTGCTATTTTTTTGACATTTGAAAACTTCCCATATTATATGAAGAGTTTATGAGCACCTTTCAACTGAGGTTTACTAATATAACATATTGTTTTCCTTTTCTGGGAAGAATATAAGAAAGAAACAAGACTGGGAAGAGCTAAATATCTCCTCTTACTAAGGTCTCTATTCCAGGCAGATCTCAGTGCTTTTGGAACATGCTTATGTTATCACTGACCATGGTGGCTTCTATTCTGCTTTTCTTTTTCGTATGAGATTGGAGATTGTACTTAGGACCTCATGGATGCACTAAGCAAGAGCTTTGCCACTGAGTTGTTCCTCCAGCTCTCTTTTTCATGTTATAATCTGGGAGATAGTGTTCCACAGAGCTGCTACAGCATTTTTGGAACTCACTCTACTACCAAAGCTGGCATGAAACTTCACATTTCTGGCCTCAACCTCCAGGGCAGCTGGGATTACAGTATCACACGCCTGTTATCAGTAGGCACAGTTCTTGGTATAGGCTTTTGGGGCACACCCATAATCTTTTACTCGCCCTTCCTTGCTATTTTTCAGTCTGTTTTGAAAACCATAATTCACATAGTAGGTTTGTAATAGGCAAGTGAATGGTGAAAATAGTCTCATTAAGGTGGCATATAGGGAAATGGGGATTGTATCCTTTGGTTCTTTATTGCAATTCAAAGAAAATTCAAGCAAGTCCCACCCAGAAAAGATATGAACCTATGAACCATTGGATGAATTTGCCAAGGCATTGATTTAATCTTAGCTCCTGGAATAATATTGAGCCTATAATAACAGGTAAAATCAACCACTAGAAATAGGTGTATCAGATTGTGTAATGAGGCATAGCATCTGCATTATTATGGCTAACTGCAGATTTAAAGCACTTTAGGGCAGACTTTATTGCCAATTTGCAAATTACATTGCAGAATAGAGTGAAAGGCTGGCGATTAAGACTGTCTACTTTGAGCTAGGCAAGATATAGGGAGTGAGTTGTGGTTTGTGGTTGTGCATGCTATTTGTTACCTCCTGGGAGTAATTTCTGATTGTGAGCATATCATAAATCACAAGCTTGTCCAGTCTGCAGTTAAAGCCCCATTTGCTAGTTTCTGTCTTCTTTCTCTTTTGTTTCAGTACTGTACTTTATGATCTTCTAAATTAAACTGAACTGCCTGTTCCCTTGATTGAGGCAGAACAATATCTTGCTAATGTTTCTAGGAAAAACTCATGGAAGTGGATAAAAATCAGCAGGCAGTGAATACAAGCACTCCCAAGAGGCAAGTTCTGAACTAGACTTTGTCTGGGAGGCTACCTAAAGTCAGAAACAAACAAACAAACAAACAAATCCTTTTGTGCAGGGCTTACATTGAATCAACATATCAGTCATACAGAGGAGCATGAGAAAGCAGAGGCTGCAGAAATGGCTTAGTGGGTGAAGCCCCTGCTTGCAAATGTGAGGATCTTAGTTTGGATCACAAGCACCCATGTAAATTCCAGATATGGTCTGTAATCTTAGCATGTGGTAGAAGGACATAGCAGTTCCTCAGAACAAGCTGACTAGTTAGACTAGCTGAATCCCTGAGATCTAGGTGCAAACAAGAGAAATCTTACTTCAAAATCTAAAGTTGACAGACCCAGAAAAATCTGCATACACACATGTGCATGGGAACTCACACACATGTGCAAACACACAGATCCAAACTATTACACACACACACACACACACACACACACACACACACACACACACACACACACACATTAGGAAGTGAGGAACAATTGAATTCTTTTAAAGTAGAGTAAATAGTTCTAGAAGGAAAGACAGCTAATAGAAAAAGAAGCCTGGCTATGAAACAGAAGCAGCAGCAGTTTGTTTCACAGTTGTTTAAATATTTTAAATAGACTGAAAGTACAGACAGGGTTGAATCTCTTATACCACCTATATTAAACAATTCTTTTTTTTTTTTTTTGTTCCTGTTGTTCTGTTTTCAGGTTCTCTCTCTGTGAGCATGGGGTCTTTGTCTTTTCTGGTCCTTCTACGTCTACCCATTCTTGTTTGAACTATGTTTTATTTTTCCTACTATGATTTCTATTTTCATGTTTTAAGTATGCAAACTCTCCTGAATATGTCCCCTGTCTGAGGATCACTCAGCTCTGCAAACTCCTTCCTAAGCCTTGCAGATGCTACAATTCTCTTGCCCTTCTGGTCAGCACAAAGGGCTCATCTGCTATGAAGTGGGCAGCTTTGTAGTCCAAATGCCATGATTACCTCAGCAAGTAGTTCACACAGTGGTGTTTTGGTTAAAGTACTAATTAGCTCCTGTGGCTAATGAGCTTGTCGCTTGTAAATCTACTCATTATTATGAACGATAGAGCTGGTGTTAGAAATGTGCTAGTTTTGCACTAAGACATAATTATTTATGAAAAGGCCTTGCCCCAGAAATGGAAATCATAATAATTAGATTTAATCTTTCTGTGGCCTATGTATTTCTTTTCCAGGGAAACAGATGTGCAGAGAGTGCTAATTACTAGTCGTGGAAAGTTTCCGATACAACCCAATCAGAAAGTCAGGAGGCTAGACCCTGGAACTTTTAGCCACCACTTATCCATGTGCCTTGAGAAAAGAGACGGTCCCAGAGGCTTCATGCCTGCCCTACATACTGTCAACAGCTGTTAACCTTACAGCTTTAGTTCTACTGAAGGCTACTGAAGGCAATGGGTTTTAAAGTGCCTTTCATTAATGGTTAAAAAGATAGAAAGACTTGTTTTCAAAAGTTTATTACTTTAGTTTAAACTGGACCATGAATAAAATGTTATACCAGAAAATAATTTGGAAATTACTCTTTTTCATTAAAATACTGAATTTAAATTTCATACTCAAAACTGGCTAGTTCAGGACACTTAGGGCAACAGATTCTCAAGTCAAGATTAAAATGAGATCCATTCAAGTTTCTTGAATTAAATAAAATAACTTGCATTAATTAAATGAAATGAAAATTTAATTTAAAAATCCTATTAAAATATGAAAAGATAACCACTTTTGGCTATGGTGGCTAAAAATGGCATTTCTGTTTTTTAATCCAATGCCACAATTAAATTAGGCAGTCTTTAGAGACTTCTGATAATTTAGTTTAGTGTGGATTTGAGACCTAACTCTCTGTTTTCAATGAGGAATATAAGAGGTGGGGACAGGTTATTTGATGTGTGGGGGTATAAACATGTCGGGCAGATCTGGGGAGCCTGGCTTCTAGTTCCTTGTACTTCACAAAGCTATCAGCTTATCTCTCTCTAGTCAGAAGATTTTGGCCAGCACCAGCTGGTTGCTCTTTAGTGACAAGTTTCTGAGAGTCAGGACCAGTTGAGGAGAGAAAAAAGACGATAAGAAAGTTGGGGTCAGGAAATGTTTCTCAAGCTATGTCTTAGGCCAAGCTAGTTTCTTTAGAAGTTCAGCATCATATATACAGTTCCCAGGGGAAGAATGGGACCTTATCAGCAGAAAGCTATCACATAATGTAACAAAGTCAACAAGAAGATAATCAGCAGTGTTGCACAAAGGGAACACAGGGTATCTGAAGTGAGTTACATCTCCAGTACACAGCAACCTTAGGAACAATGACTGCAGTCTTTTTAGGGGAAAAAATCAAGTCCCTAGGAACTGAAACCTTAACTCCCTTGAGGCCCTGGCCCCAGCTCTGGATTGCACTTTGCCAATTGTCCTGAGCAAGGACATGGCTTTCCCTTAGTTCTTTCATCACTCTAAGAAAGCCTTGAGTCAGCCTGGCTCTCAATAGGCTTCATCTTGCCTTCTACTTACCAACAAAGTCCTACCTGCCATAGCTCATCCATCTCTCTTATATAACATGAATTTTATCCATCTAGTCTAGCTGCACTTGAATTTTATAGAATAATTTCTAAGCATCCTGCAATGAGTTAAAAAAAAAGGGGGTATGCAATATGGAGTTATTCCTATCTTTTAATTACATACAATCTTCCATCCTTGCCATTCCAACTTATTGGACATAAGTGTGTGTAATGGAGGTTGCTGCATAGGTTCAAAACCTACTTCTCTTGGTTATATAACCTAAATGATTTTGAATAAGAAGTTCTCCATGCTTTAGTGTTTTCCTCTAAAACAATGAGTTTATTAATAGTAAATAATGAATAGATTTTTATAAACAGATAAACTGATACTTATAAAACACTTAGGAATGTACCTGGCATAAAGTATGCACTGTGTAAATGGTAGCTAATACACTGAACATTATTAGACAGAAACGAATTAGTATATAGAATAATATGGGTGATAAATGTACTAAGCTGTGAGTGCCACATGTGAATTAGCTCCCATTAATTAAAGTCATTACTGTGGGACATCTCTCTGGGTGTCTTTAAATGACCCAGTTCTTCCTTTTTATCCTCACTTGCAATTCCAAAGAATAATTTTATATTGTAGAAAGGCAACATATTTGGGTGAGAACACCTGCCTAGAAAGTCTTAGATCCATACCAGCTCACCCAAAAAAAAAAAACCAGATATTTTTTAATGCTCTATCACCATGTGCCATGTTTCTCTCTGGGAGCCTAGTCTGAGTTGGCATTTTACTTCAGTTGTGGTGCAAAAGTGACACATAACGTCAAGATCCCATTTTCCCAGGGGAACTTTTTTGGGTATTGAAGATTTTTTTTTGCAAGAATCCTAAGCTCTTGCTGCCTTTTAATTTGGTATAAAGTGTTGCATGAGTAGGTTCTGTCTTATCAGATTAGTTCATGTTGAACATGTTTCACAATTGCAAAAAGCCCATCAAGACATTAACCTAATTTTATAGATAATTATGTGGAGACCCAGAGTGATTGTCACTTAATGGGGGCCATAGAATGGGTCACTGAGAGCTGGCTTTCCAAACCTAGAATTTTGGCATACTTAAATGCCATAGGTTTTACTAGTGTCTTTATCCAGACTCCAGGGATCAGTGTTTGTCCAAGACATTTTTAATTCCAAGAATTGTGTCAGAAAAGCTTCCTCTTGCAACATATGGGAATAAATACAGACACTCACAGACAAATAATATGTAGAGAGTGAGGGACCTTGTAACACAATCCTAAGAGGGATGCCTTCCTCAAATCCTTCCCCTCGT